TATATACCTAAAAAATCTATTATACATAATTCTGCTATGGGTCTCTGCTCCGCGTTGCTGTCCGTCCGGAAACTAGTGGGATCGAATCTCATGACCAGCAAAATAATCATATCATATCAACTCTTTTAAGAAACATTATTTCAGCGTTTCATCCTAGTTTGTTTTTGGTGAGGTTCAGCCAGTGAGGGTTTACAAATGTTTCATGTAATGAAATATTCCTGAAAGCCTCTGCACCAGCAGGTGCAATGCCAGATATAGGGGGATGATAAAACCATACATTGTACACGTTTTGTCCATATTCACTTCAGCATTTGATGGGTTTGTCATTTCTCACTGCAGTTTCTGAAAGTATGGGGTCTGGTAACAGTCAGACACTGGTACGGAGATCAATGACGGACGATAGTGTTGGATGTGATGAGAAGTTCCACAATGTGGTTAAGACATGTCAAGGCCCTCCACACATGTAATATGAACTATGAGCAATAAAACAAAGGAAATTACTTTCTCTTGTGCTAATTGCACTGCGGTTCTTCAATGTTAGTGCACAGCATGCAGTTAGATATATTAGCTCATCCCTACCCATCACTGTAACCACTTAATCCCAACTGGGGTCGCGGGGGGAACAGAGCCTATCCCAGGAACAAAGGGCACAGGTAGGAACCAACCCACCGCAGGGCACAAGCACACAACCAATTTAGACTTACCAATCAACCTGCCCAGCATACTTTCAGACCGTGGGAGAAAACCAGAGCCCCCAGCAGAAACCCACATGAACACAGGGAGACCGTGCAAACTCCACACAGGAAGGACCCAGGACCTTCTCGCTGTGAGGCAGCAGCGCTAACCACTGCACCACCATGTCTGGTGGGTCTGGATCACCCACCTATCGCGGAAGTTACATTCCAGACCCATCAGCTATAGGTGAAAATCCACGATATAGAAAGACCATATACATAAACTTTTTTATAATATATTAAATATATAGTGATCCCCCGCCTATCGCGGAAGTTACGTTCCAGATCCATCAGCAATAATGAAAACAACTGGAAACAATTAGCGGTGATCCCTGTTGGTGGTGCGTTCCACCCCTGTGGGCGTGACAATCATTTTCTCCCCTGTTGAAACTGTTGTTTCATTACAGTTGAGCGATATAATCGAACACTGAAGGACGAACTGGCTAAGCATCTCTTCCAGTTAGGCCAAGAATGGGA